ATTTTCTTTATTTGAAAAATCTACTTCCATTTCGGCTGCCGAATGGCCTTTTTTTTATAAATGAATTCAAATGTTAACTAGCCAAAAATGGTGCTAAGGTGGCGAAAATCGGTACCTCTACCCTATATAATTTAGCCACATTTCATATCTGAATTTGTCATTAAAGATAAATTTGACTGAAAAAATAATTCGTACGGCCCAGACCAGGACTCGAACGTGAATCTTTTGGTTACGCGCCAAAGGCTCTACCTGTTAAGCTATCCGAGACAAAAAATTATATTATTTTTATGAAAATTTTAATATTTTATGAAAATTTTGTTACTTTCCTCGTTTTGATGGTCTGGGCCGTCCGAATTATTTTTTCAGTAAAATTTATCTTTAATGACAAATTTAGATATGAATTGTAGTTAAATTGTATATGCCTGGAGGGAAATACAGGTTATAAAAATATTACGAAAAAATAAAAATTGTTGCATTAGACTGGACAGCCAATTAACTGAAAATCTAAAAAAATATTATTATAGTAACTTTAAAATTTTTTCTAGGTTTATTTTTTTGTGGGATTCAATTTATGATACTTAAATTAGCAGAATCTAATTAATTTTTTTAATTAAAAAAAACATTTTTGTAAAACTTATTGATAGTTTTTAAAAATTTTTAGGTGTAGAATTTTTTTGTTGGAATTTATTTGTTAAAAAAAATCTGCAAAATCTTGAATTTAAAGATTTTTTTTGGTAATTATTTACAAGTGGAATCAATCCCATTTTGGGCCATAACTAGGTGAAAAATTAACATTTTCAAATTTTTTTTTATTCTGCTTGCTTTTACAGTGTATTTATGATAAAAAATAAAGATTTCGATGGCTTGTTTGCTTTCAAAAGTTGGAAAAAATTTCGGCTCATGTTTTTGGATAAAATTTCTATTTTGGATAAAAAATGAACAATTTAAAAAAAAAAGTTGAATATCACAATTTGCTAAAAAATTTATAAATTTTTTTGAAAATTTGTTAAAATTGTGATAGTCAAATTTTTTTTTTTAATTGTTCTTTTTTTTGATGTATTTATCAAAAAAAAAAATATATCAATAAAATCAAATAGAAATTTCGTTAAAAAAAAAGAAAATTAAAATGGTTGACCCCATTTGTAAATAATTACTAAATATATTTGTAAAATTTATTGGTAGTTTTTTTAACTTTTTATGTGTAAAATTTTTTTATTGCAATTTGTTTGTTAAAAAAAATCTGAAAATCTTTAATTCAAAAATTTTTTTTTTAATTTTCATAAAAATACCCAAAATTTGAGTTTTTAGAAACTTTACCAAAAAAAAGAATGAAATTTTTAATTCTTATAAAAAATTTAATAATCCCAAAATCTTTAATATTATCAAAGTAATTTTTATCATATCTAGTGATATGAAGTATATCAAATTAAAGATAATAAGCGATGTCTTAACTATAACAAATATTTTGAAATTTTTTTCGTAAAATGTTTAACTAATAAAAATACAAAAACCATATTTGCCAAAAATTACAAATACGTTTCCAATTTTTTTATTTATACTGAAAAGACGCCTGATTATTTTTTTAACAAATAATTTAAGATAAAAAAAAATTTTTATAAATCGTATTTTTAAAAATTATTGTTATGAATTATTACTGCACAAATGAACAAATTTACATGTTCGTACTAAATTTACACATCTGTCAAAACATACTTTTGATAAAATCATACTTACCAAGAATCTCAAATATTCTAAAATTTTTTTACTCATGCTCAAGCTAATCAACAATACTCTGAATATTTTTCTAAACTTTTTCATTAAATAAATAAAAAAAATTTGACATCTAGAAATTTTTAAAAATTTATAAAATAACTTTTTATAATTTATTTTCCAATCAAACTTCTGTCAAATTTTTTAATTCTAAAAAAATAATTATTTTAAAAAATTTGTCACCTTGAAAATTTCAACACGTGAGTTTAAAAAAATATGAAAATAAATTTAGCATATATATTTGGTAATTTTAAAAATTTTTAAAAATAAAAAAATGCAATTTTTTAAAACTCATTTTGTGTAACAAATTTATTTGTTAAAGAAAATCAAAAAATTGTCAAGTGACAACTAAACTAAATTATGGAAATTAATTTAGCAGATATTTGATAACTTTACAAATTTTTGTAACAAATAAATTGTGGCAAAAAAAAAATTAGAAAAAAAATTGACAGGTAGAAATTTTTCAAAATAAAAAATGCAATTTTTTATAAATAATTTTTTAGAAAAAATCTATTTGTTAAAAAAAATTTTAAAATGGTTAAGTGATTGCTAACTTTAATGTCATTAAAAAAAATGTCAGGTGTCACTTTCATTATCAAAAAAATAGCCAGATGTCTTGTAATTTTAGTATTATTTTTTGCACATATCCTTGTCAGTATAGACAAAGTTTTCTGATCTTTATTTTATATAAAAAAAAAAAAGTTTAGATAAGCAATAGAATATTTAATTATGGATCACTCTGCAAATCGGAGTACAACCTTGATAATTAATTATCTGGCGAAGAAACCCGCTTCGGTGCACCTGACAAATTTTATATTAGTATATAAATAAATAAATAATAACATTAATATTAATAATAATAATAATAAAAATAAACAAAAAAAAAACTCACTTGACAAAATCAGCAGTTTTTTTAAAAACGAGGTTAGGACAATACTCGCAGGAGAGGGCTGGACTGTTGGTGTTGTTGTTAAGCTGCTCGGCGGAGATCTTCACCAGCTTGGCCATCGCTCAGTGAAAAGTCGGGTCCGGTGGGATCCAGGAATGCATCGTGCTCACAGATTAAAATGTGTCATATTTCAGTGGACTAACTTAGGCGAGGAATTTTTAATTATCGATAACATACTTGTAACTTATATTTTATACTTTGTACCTGATAAGTGATAAGTTGTAGTAATAAGGTAGAATTATGATTCTGAGGTGGGGTAGAGATGTCATGTGGCGATGACGTCATGAACCGGTTAGTTTGGAGATATTCCGCTAGATGTCGGTTGACTGTCGTTTCTTGTGGCGGTCCTGCCGCCTCGGTCGCGCTCCCAGCGACCAGAAGTCAAAACAAATCTACCAAAGCGCCAATCGTCGGAGCGGGAAACTCTCTCTCTCTCTACAATAAACAATCCCACACAAATTCAAATAATCCCGCCTTTCTGCACGCCATAGCTGTGGCGTGACTGTGCAGTATTATTATTATTATTATTATTATTATTATTATTATTGATTGTGACCTGACTAAATATAAGGAGAGACGCTAAGTTTTTTATGTAATAAATAAGTGAATAAATATTATCAAACACGAATTATTCTTGCAATATTATTATCATTATTAGTATATAGTGTACTACCCCTTAACAACTACATTCTGAAATGGAAGAATGTGAGCTATAAAGGAAACTATGATAATGGCTGCTAGCAAAATTAATTTCTCTCTTCATGAAATTATATATATAGTTAGCAATCATTTAACCATTTTTTATTCTTTTTATTTTTTAGTAGATTTCATAGAAAAATAGATTTCAATGAAACGTAAAATATTATAAAAATTAAGTTAGCCGACATCTAAAAATTTTTAGAATTTTTTTTTATTGAAAAAATCATTAGAAAAAATTAAAATAAAAAAAAATTTTCATTTGTAAAAAACTTGAAAAACTATAAGTGCAATTTTTAAAAAATATTTTTAGATCTAATTTCATCATTGAAAAATAATCAAAAAATTAAAAACGTCGGCTAACTTTAGTATTATAAAATATTACTTATTTTTTGGACGATTTCTGAGGTCAAGTTCTGAGATGATGAGTCAAATCTTTCAATTAGTTAAGAAATTACGGTAATTTAAAAATTTTTTTTAATCGCAAAAATTTTCACTTATCCCGTAATTAAAATGACTGCATACGTAATCTCGTAATTACCGCAAATTAAATAAGTTTTATAGTTAAAAATTATTGAACGTTTTGAATTGAGTTTTTTTGATTTATAATTAAAAATATGCTTTGTCATTTATAAAAAATTAAATACAAATATTTCTCATTTTTAAATGAACATATAGAATAGAATATAATTTTATTTGTATCACCATATTTAGTGTTTTACAAAACTGTTACCATATTACATTTACAAAAATAATTGCTTTTTACTCATTTTTCTTTGGTACACTCTTAGTTATTTATAAGTACACACCACTCTCTATACTACATTTTATTTTATTACATCCACTTACTCTTATCTTTGATTTAATCTAGTATATCAAATTCCTTACAGCTTTTATAACAAATAATAATTTTATACTATACAAAATTACTAGTATCACATTTCTGTTCTTACTCTTATAATTAATAATTTTGCATTTTTTAGTATACATTATATGTCCGCAGCGCACTGATAGAAGGATTTATTTGTACCAAAAAATATTTTTTAATAGTTAACAAATATTTTTAACTATAAACAAATCCTTCTATCAGTGCGCCTTGATAATTTTTGTTATTTAGTGCTTTTTCTTTAAACACTCTTTCTACATCTCTTATAAATGTACATAAGTCTTTTTTTATCTCCCCTTTTAAAGTTTCTATCATTAATTCACTGGACACATCGTTATTTACCTCTTCTAGCCATTTATTTTTTGCTTCTTTGCCTTCCACTGTTACTTTTTCATGAATTTCCTTGCAATTTATAATGTGAATAATCGTTTCTTGCTCTTTTTCACAAATTCTGCACCCCCAGTTATTTTGCCCTTTTTTTTTAAAAGTAAAATATTTCGCAACAACGCACATTAAATACGTTCCAAAATTGTTTTTTTAATTTTTAAATTTACTACAAAATTTTTTTTAATTTCCGAAAATCATAAACAATCATATCGGTTACTTTGATTTTTTAATTTTTTTATTTTATATCTTTTTGTAAAGAAAAAAAATAATTTTTTTTTCTTAACAGTCTTATGAACGTGGACTTGGCGCGATTTTTTTACAGTGAAACTGTTTTTGTTCGGATACATAATTAAGCTGATAGTTTTGTAGCCCTTGTTAATTTTTTTCTAATAAAATTAAAAATAATTTGGTCAGACAATTTTGTACAGATTTAGGACGTCCTTTCAGAGAATTACCTAAAAATCAGAATAATTTTTTTTTAATTAAAAAATTTTCATTATTTTTAATTTTATGTAAAAAAAAAAACTAGGGGATTATGAAATAAAAAAATTCAATAAATAAAAAAAACTTCCTAAGCACTTAAACAATAATGAAGAAATAATAATGTAAACTATGTAAGCAATGGATAAATATTTAAGTAACAATTCAAAATTATGAATAATTATTCACTTACCAACAGAATGAGCCAGTAAAGTGATGCAAACTTCCAACGACGATTACAGGATTTGTCAATGGGCTTTCAAACTTGAATATCCATATTCATGCTTTGCATAACAACTCAAATTGAAATATAACAATAATATATAAACAAAATATTTTTCAATAAAGATATTGAGAGCAATAATTCACTGAAAAAAAAAAAGTTTGAATCAGTACTGCGATGAAATTTGTAATGAATAGCTCTCTTGATTCTTACACTGTTAGTGTTAACAAACCCAAACATCTTCTGTTCTTAGAATTTATTTTATGTTTGCTCCGTATATGGTTTTAGTATTATATTTCAATATTATTACTCATTAAATGTATTATACTAGATGTTTAGGCCCGCGTTGCTGGGCGAATGAAAGAAAATATTAATTACTCAAGTCAGATTATTTTTTACTTATTAATAAAATAACAAAATAAATTTATTCATACGCTTATTGAGAATTTAAAATTTAAGTTTTTTTAAATTTAGTAATTATTAAGCTAAAAATTAGAAAGAAGTTTTTTTTTTTATTCTAAATTATTTCTAAAAAAAATATTAAAAATTTTTAATATTTTATTGGACCAATTTTTAGCCAATACAATTTTTTTTGATTAAATATTAGAAGTAATATAAAAATCTCTAGAAAAAAAATAAAAAATAAAAAAAAAATTATATGATCGGTAGCAAGTATTCTTGATCTTTTAAGTTTTGGTATCGTTGGTACATGGCTATCCAAAAGTACACTCCGTTTCCTAAAAAAATTTTTAGTTATAGTAAAAATAGTAAAAAAAATTTTTATAACAAATTAATTATAATAAATAGTTCGTACCAATAATAAACAATCCAAATGCCAGTACCGAAAATCCAGCTAGCTTAGAGAGTTTAAAATTTTGAATCGTCAAGAACAGGAAGAAAATTAACAAAATATTTATTACTACGATAAGAAACATCAAGTACGGCAAAATCAATTTATAGTTTCCCTAGAACGAAGATATTTATCATTTATCAATTTCATAAATTTTAGAATGCAAAATTGTTTTAAAAAAAATAGTTACCTTCTTTGAATACCAATATATCAAGCCTGTTAAAACGTATTTAATCGTTACAATTACGATTAATGTTATTACTTCTGCATTGTAAATATTATAATCATAAATGTCGGCAGGTTGCAATTCAGAAGAATTTAGCGCATCTTCTCTTTTTCGTCGGAAAATATGTACTGAGTAGTTTACTTCAGGAGGCGCTAATAGCTTCTTGATAACGAAGAAATATATTGCCTAAAAGAAGAAATGAAATTATAATTTTTTACAAACTGAAATTTAAGTTATAACTTGGAGAAAAATTATTAGATCTGATTGTATATAGGATATTCCAGGTCAAATCGTTCAGTTTAAAAAATTTTCTTTTTCATTTCAAAAATTCAAAAATTTTAATCTAAGTGAAATCATCTTGGTAATAATCTGATAATAAATGTTTACGAATTTTTTTTTAATTTTAAAATTTTTGTGGAGCACTATATCATAAAAATAGAAAATTATAGCTGCAGTGGAGGAAGAATTTTTTACTTCGAATAATGATCGTACATGTAAAACTTGAAAAAATTGCGAAATTGAATAAGTATTTTCATTACCTAGATTATAAACCAACTTAGCGATTAATTAAGAATTTAAAAAACCTTTTATCTGTGTAAAATTATGAAAAGTTCTTGAAAATAGTTACAATAAGAATATACCAACAAAAATGAGAATTAATAATAAGTAAAAAAAAATTTTTTTTTAAAAATCGAAAATTTGGACCATTTTTGTAGAAGTTATGAGCGAAGACAAAAAAAAAAGGGGTTTTCTCAAAATTCGATATCTTTTGAACAGATGATAAAAAACATCTCAAAATTTATCTGAAGGAGTTTTTTGATAAATACTAAAAAATTATTAAAAATTAGGAAAATAAAAAAAAAATTTTTTAAACTATACGATTTGGCGTAGAATGTACCACACACATATGTGAGAAGATATAATTAAATTTTATTGCAAAAATTGTTTTTAAATTATTTAAAAAAATTTTTTTTAATTATTTAACAAAAATTGTTAGATCTATTATAATTTAATGATATTATATATTATATTATATAATCAGATAATCACATAATATTAAAGTACCGAAAATTTTCGGACAACCTTCTTGTTTACTTTTTAATCTAAATATAATCCATAAACAAATTAACTATGTCATTAAAGTTAGCCGACGTACTAAATTTTTTGATTTTTTTTTTTAATAATCAAATTAGAACAAAAATATTTTTTTTTAAATTGCACTTACAGTTTTTGAAGTTTTTTAGACGTGCAATTTTTTTTTATTTTTTTGTAATGATTTTTTCAATAAAAAAAAATTATAAAAAATTTTAAATGTCGGCTAACTTAATTTTCATAAAAAAATGCTATTTTATTTTACAAAGAGTGTACAACCGTGTCATTGACTTTCTTCTTGATTTAATTTTACTTTTAATAATCGTTTCAATAAATTTTCATCTTGTCCGGAAACTTTCTGTCGGTACTGTAATATTATGTGATTATATATAATATCATTAAATTATAATAGATCTAACAATTTTTGTTAAATAATTAAAAAAAATTTTTTTAAATAATTTAAAAACAATTTTTGCAATAAAATTTAATTATATCTTCTCACATATGTGTGTGGTACATTCTACGCCAAATCGTATAGTTTAAAAAATTTTTTTTTTATTTTCCTAATTTTTAATAATTTTTTAGTATTTATCAAAAAACTCCTTCAGATAAATTTTGAGATGTTTTTTATCATCTGTTCAAAAGATATCGAATTTTGAGAAAACCCCTTTTTTTTTTGTCTTCGCTCATAACTTCTACAAAAATGGTCCAAATTTTCGATTTTTAAAAAAAAATTTTTTTTTACTTATTATTAATTCTCATTTTTGTTGGTATATTCTTATTGTAACTATTTTCAAGAACTTTTCATAATTTTACACAGATAAAAGGTTTTTTAAATTCTTAATTAATCGCTAAGTTGGTTTATAATCTAGGTAATGAAAATACTTATTCAATTTCGCAATTTTTTCAAGTTTTACATGTACGATCATTATTCGAAGTAAAAAATTCTTCCTCCACTGCAGCTATAATTTTCTATTTTTATGATATAGTGCTCCACAAAAATTTTAAAATTAAAAAAAAATTCGTAAACATTTATTATCAGATTATTACCAAGATGATTTCACTTAGATTAAAATTTTTGAATTTTTGAAATGAAAAAGAAAATTTTTTAAACTGAACGATTTGACCTGGAATATCCTATATACAATCAGATCTAATAATTTTTCTCCAAGTTATAACTTAAATTTCAGTTTGTAAAAAATTATAATTTCATTTCTTCTTTTAGGCAATATATTTCTTCGTTATCAAGAAGCTATTAGCGCCTCCTGAAGTAAACTACTCAGTACATATTTTCCGACGAAAAAGAGAAGATGCGCTAAATTCTTCTGAATTGCAACCTGCCGACATTTATGATTATAATATTTACAATGCAGAAGTAATAACATTAATCGTAATTGTAACGATTAAATACGTTTTAACAGGCTTGATATATTGGTATTCAAAGAAGGTAACTATTTTTTTTAAAACAATTTTGCATTCTAAAATTTATGAAATTGATAAATGATAAATATCTTCGTTCTAGGGAAACTATAAATTGATTTTGCCGTACTTGATGTTTCTTATCGTAGTAATAAATATTTTGTTAATTTTCTTCCTGTTCTTGACGATTCAAAATTTTAAACTCTCTAAGCTAGCTGGATTTTCGGTACTGGCATTTGGATTGTTTATTATTGGTACGAACTATTTATTATAATTAATTTGTTATAAAAATTTTTTTTACTATTTTTACTATAACTAAAAATTTTTTTAGGAAACGGAGTGTACTTTTGGATAGCCATGTACCAACGATACCAAAACTTAAAAGATCAAGAATACTTGCTACCGATCATATAATTTTTTTTTTATTTTTTATTTTTTTTCTAGAGATTTTTATATTACTTCTAATATTTAATCAAAAAAAATTGTATTGGCTAAAAATTGGTCCAATAAAATATTAAAAATTTTTAATATTTTTTTTAGAAATAATTTAGAATAAAAAAAAAAACTTCTTTCTAATTTTTAGCTTAATAATTACTAAATTTAAAAAAACTTAAATTTTAAATTCTCAATAAGCGTATGAATAAATTTATTTTGTTATTTTATTAATAAGTAAAAAATAATCTGACTTGAGTAATTAATATTTTCTTTCATTCGCCCAGCAACGCGGGCCTAAACATCTAGTATAATACATTTAATGAGTAATAATATTGAAATATAATACTAAAACCATATACGGAGCAAACATAAAATAAATTCTAAGAACAGAAGATGTTTGGGTTTGTTAACACTAACAGTGTAAGAATCAAGAGAGCTATTCATTACAAATTTCATCGCAGTACTGATTCAAACTTTTTTTTTTTCAGTGAATTATTGCTCTCAATATCTTTATTGAAAAATATTTTGTTTATATATTATTGTTATATTTCAATTTGAGTTGTTATGCAAAGCATGAATATGGATATTCAAGTTTGAAAGCCCATTGACAAATCCTGTAATCGTCGTTGGAAGTTTGCATCACTTTACTGGCTCATTCTGTTGGTAAGTGAATAATTATTCATAATTTTGAATTGTTACTTAAATATTTATCCATTGCTTACATAGTTTACATTATTATTTCTTCATTATTGTTTAAGTGCTTAGGAAGTTTTTTTTATTTATTGAATTTTTTTATTTCATAATCCCCTAGTTTTTTTTTTTACATAAAATTAAAAATAATGAAAATTTTTTAATTAAAAAAAAATTATTCTGATTTTTAGGTAATTCTCTGAAAGGACGTCCTAAATCTGTACAAAATTGTCTGACCAAATTATTTTTAATTTTATTAGAAAAAAATTAACAAGGGCTACAAAACTATCAGCTTAATTATGTATCCGAACAAAAACAGTTTCACTGTAAAAAAATCGCGCCAAGTCCACGTTCATAAGACTGTTAAGAAAAAAAAATTATTTTTTTTCTTTACAAAAAGATATAAAATAAAAAAATTAAAAAATCAAAGTAACCGATATGATTGTTTATGATTTTCGGAAATTAAAAAAAATTTTGTTGTAAATTTAAAAATTAAAAAAACAATTTTGGAACGTATTTAGTGTGCGCGGTTGCAAAATATTTTACTTTTAACTAAATTGGTAAAATCTATTTACTAGGACTTTAAAAAAATTGAAATACACAATATGACGCATACCAATTTTCATCAACCGATCTTGATGAAAATTGGTACACATATTCTTTGAGTAATTACCTTGAACGAGTTCGAAGATGAAAAAAATCGGTCAATTAGTTTAGAAATGGCGGCCATTTAAAATTTTCAAAATAGTGAAAATCACATTTTCGGTCACTTCATTGATGTATAACTTTTTATTGAAAAGAGATACCTAATTTTTGAAAAAATCATATGATAGTTATTCATATCACCGCGAATCTACTAGACATAACGATTGATCCTTTATTATTAAAAAATCATATATAGATTTTGCTCATCTTTGAACTAGTCCAAGATAATTATCCAAATAGTAAATACACCAAGAAAACTTTTACAGAACTTCTCTATTGTAATTAATTTAAAAATTTGGTTTTCAACAAATTATAATAGCAAAAATAAAGAGAATTTTATACCAAATGAAATCTACCTTACATTTCGAGTGAGGCCGAATGGAATTTTTTATAATGAATAATTGCTATTTTTATTGTTATTATTATTAATAGTATTGTGATTAAGAAAAAAAAAGTAATGGGTCTGATTGGAATTTGAACTCCACCCGTAGATCTTAAATAATAATAATAATATTATTATTGCTATTATTATATTTAATATTATGATTATTCTACCTTTGGTTTGGTCGTAAATTCGTTATATGGGGACAAAGCTCCTCGAGTTAAGACTAAACCAGACGTACGCTCATACTGTACCTAATAGCACAAGGTCGGTTTGAACGAACTTTTATCTGGAATTAAATCGAGAAAAAAGTACGACTAAAACGGAACTTAGATCTCGACTCGGGTTGGGTGACATTGCTTATACTTTAGTGTAAAAATCAAGGGAGTAAACTGTTCATTACAAATTTCGTCGCAGTACTGGTCCAAAATTTTTTTTTCAACCGAGTTATTTCTACAATATCTTTATTGGAAAATATCTTGAATTATTCTTTATCTGCAGTACGTGCTTTTTATTTTCAAAGAAATTATTGACTGACGCAGTTTTGCAAGTGTCAAGGGGCAGTTTATCCGATTACCGTCAGTTTTACATAACAAGTCGTTAGTTACTGTACTCATCACAGTGAAATTAATTGAAAAATATCACTATTATTTAGTGAAAAAAATAATATTTTAATTATAAATTATTATTATAGTTTAATTTGAATTTTTGGACAAAGCATGAATGCCATTCAAGAAACGTCAGAAGAAAATTCAACTGAAGCAAAGCCCATTGGAAAATCCTGTTGTTGCAAGTGTACTGTATCACTTTCAACAGTGTTAATGGTGGTGATAGTAAGTAAATAATTATTTATAAATTCAATACTTTTATATTATAAGATCTTCTCAATTTTGCGGCACTGAATAATCTAGGACAATAACTGTAGAGGAGAGAAGAATTTGCGCCTCAGTTCTCCTGGTTGTAGGCTTATCAAATTCTAATATTTACACAGTAAAAAATTTTGCGTCATTGGGTCAAAAAATTTTTATATTGAAATTTTACACTTTTAAGTGTTAATTTGACACTTCTTTATATCAATTCTAGTAAATCAACAAAAAAAGGTGTTAAATATTTAACACAAAAATTTTTAACATCAAATTTTTTGAGAAAATGACGCAAAATTTTTTACTGTGTATCCTTCCAAGAAATACAAGATTAGCCTTGCCATTTTATTCTTCTACACCTCAAAATAACGTCATGCTCTCATCATCCCTAATAAGACTATCGAACATATGCAATTACATAGTAGAGATTAACAATAATATTGATTTTTTTTTGTAAAGATCAAAACTGTTGTGCTAACGCTCTTGCATCTGCATTGATTTAATTAAGATTTACATTATTAAGTATAAATAAATAAAATTGAAACACTACAATAACTTTACTAGCTATGCCACTTCTATTATAATATTCTGTAATTTTGTTTTTTTTTTTTTTTGTAAAAGGATGTACCCATATCGTACCATTTTTCTTTTTAATCAATTTCATAAAAATCTAACTATTGCAGTCGTTCTTACACAGAAAAAAAAAAACTTTTTGCACCAAGAAACTTTTAAAGAAGACAAAAGTTATTTTGCGGAGCAAGAAGAAATTTTTTTGGCTCAAAAAACTTTGACTTCATTCAAGAAATTTTTAATCTTCCTTAATATTTTCTTGAGCCAAGAAAATTTACCCTCCAGTCAAGAATTTTTTTTTTTTCAGTGCATATGGCGCAACTTTTAAATAATTCAGTCATTTTTAAGTGTTAATTTGACACTTCTTTATATCAATTCTAGTAAATCAACAAAAAAAGGTGTTAAATATTTAACACAAAAATTTTTAACATCAAATTTTTTGAGAAAATGACGCAAAATTTTTTACTGTGTATCCTTCCAAGAAATACAAGATTAGCCTTGCCATTTTATTCTTCTACACCTCAAAATAACGTCATGCTCTCATCATCCCTAATAAGACTATCGAACATATGCAATTACATAGTAGAGATTAACAATAATATTGATTTTTTTTTGTAAAGATCAAAACTGTTGTGCTAACGCTCTTGCATCTGCATTGATTTAATTAAGATTTACATTATTAAGTATAAATAAATAAAATTGAAACACTACAATAACTTTACTAGCTATGCCACTTCTATTATAATATTCTGTAATTTTGTTTGTAAAATTTTTTTTTTTTGTAAAAGGATGTACCCATATCGTACCATTTTTCTTTTTAATCAATTTCATAAAAATCTAACTATTGCAGTCGTTCTTACACAGAAAAAAAAAAACTTTTTGCACCAAGAAACTTTTAAAGAAGACAAAAGTTATTTTGCGGAGCAAGAAGAAATTTTTTTGGCTCAAAAAACTTTGACTTCATTCAAGAAATTTTTAATCTTCCTTAATATTTTCTTGAGCCAAGAAAATTTACCCTCCAGTCAAGAATTTTTTTTTTTTCAGTGCATATGGCGCAACTTTTAAATAATTCAGTCATTTTCTGACTCAGCTCGACAAACTGAGTCAGAAAATATCGTTCGTTTAATAGTTTACATGTTTATATGATATAACGCAGCTTATCAGCACGATAACACTGTGTAAGAGAATGCTTTTCCATTTTTTTACATGGTGGATCTCCAGTAGAGGACATTTGTAAAATGCTGAAAGAGCGGAAAAACTAAGGATCAGGTTTCGGTCTGGTTATCTCAATTAAAATACAAAAATTATTATTAAGAATATCACTAGAGATTTATTTACTATAAATACACTCAATATTTAATATACTAGAATTCAAATTTTCGCGCGCAAGCGCGCGCTTGACTATAGAATTTGCATATATTTTCATGCTTATGATATATTCGACCAATCACGTTACGAATAGTTTGATGCCACATACATTTCATCTCAATTTTATTATAGGATTCAATAGCGGATTGATAAGAAAAAGGCGGATTTATAAAACACTGCGTGGATATCAATGCGAAGCCGGTCAGCTCGTGGTTGAGCAAATTGCCGGCACTGTAAAAAGCGGTGAAACAAAAGCAAATAAACACAATTTATCTGAAACAAACTGAAGCGAAATATTAGCGGTTAATTTAAGCAATTTAAATTATAAAAATAGCGAAATGCGTTTAGTTAACGATGAGCGAAATAAAATAGCGGGAAAGCGAAGCGTTAGACTTAATGGCGGAGAAGCGAAAGATAATAATAACAGTTCGTCTTCTTCCTCGTTGACTTGGGAAAGAAGGCTCCTGCGCATGTCTAGCGAGAGCGATAGCCAATCAATAAATTCGTTCTATTGATGTCGACATCGATAGCCAATGGTAAAATTCGATACATGTGGCGTGATCAGTCAAGCGGTTTGCGCAAGCGGGTGAGAAATAGCGGGAACGATGGCTTGTCAGGTGCGTGTTGTAAATTTGGGGAGCCCACAGTGACGTATTGCTCACTGAGTGGGCCTGTTCACCGAACAACATTAATAATTAAAATCTCATAATCTTTAAAATTTTTTGAACAAAATTGGTTCTGAATAGTATAAAATAGATTTTTTTTTAATCAATGAATTAAGTTATATATTATTATTATTTTATAAAAAATAAATTTTCTTTATTTGAGAAATCTACTTCCATTTCGGCCTTTTTTTCTAGACTAGTATCGTTTTAGTTTTGTATTTAATAAGAAAATCCCGTCTTTGGCTTCATGGCTGTTGTATAGAAAGACTATAAATAAATAAATAAATAGATTACTGATTTTTACAGATATTTATCAAAGGGCTTGCCAGGGCATACGTAAGCCAAAAAAGAGAGGAAATTTCGATTCCTGTTGACTTCGGCGGAATTCGTCAAATAAGAGATTTGCTGCCCAATTCTAATGATGTAAAACCTGAAATAGATAATTATTCAAGTATATACAGTGCAGAAGCAATCACATTAATCGTGATTATAATGATTGAATACATCTTGACAGGCTTGGTATTTTGGTATTCGAAGAAGGTAACTATACATTTTGAATAAAACACTTATAGACATTTTACATTTTAAGTTTCATGAAACTGATAAATATCTTCATTCTAGGGAAAATATAAGCTGATTTTTCCGTACTTGATATTTCTCATCTTAGCAATAAATGCATCGCTAGATTTGTTCATACCCGCAACAATCCAAAGTTTTAAACTTTCTATGCAAGCTGGATTTTTAGTCCTGACAATTGGATTCTTAATTATTGGTAAGAACAACTCTATTCAATGTTATACATCGATCTTATACGACTGTTTCATTTCAAAACAAAATAACTAAGCAAAATCACGTCAAGTGGATCCCCCATTTGTCACTTGATCATGAAAATTAAGTCTATATATTTTTAACTTCCCGCTAAGAAAATTGAAAATTTTCAAAAATCGGGAAGTTATTGGTTTTACCCCGTTTTTCGAAAATCGAGTTTTCATCAGATCTCGACGTTTTAAGGTCCTAGGAAGCTTCCCTGACTACTCCCGCGAGGGTATCACTGTGTGTGTGTGTGTGTGTGTGTGTGTGTGTGTGTGTGTGTGTGTGTGTGTGTGTGTGTGTGTGTGTATGTAAGATTTCAAAAACTAATCAGCTCTCAACCTTAAAAAATCACGTCGATTGCCGGCAATCCGGTCAAAATCGGTTGATTCGTTCAAGAGATATCGTGAACGAAAAAAAACCGAAAAAAGTGTTTTTTTGGAATTACTCCGAAATTTCTTGTTTAACCAATTGAAACTTAAGAATTCTTCATGAGTCTTAAAAAACTGCGTAGAATGCCGCCAACTGCGTAAAAATCGGTTCATTCATTCAAAAGTTATTGCGGTTTAAAAATTCCAAAAATAGTGTTCTATGAAACTTCTATCAGACTTTTGAGCTGGGAGAGCTCAAATGCATAGAAATATTATCTCTTTGAACTCAGCGAGCTCAAAATATCTCATAAATTATATTTTGAACTCAAAAATCTCAAAAATGTCATAAGTAAAATTTTAAGCGTCCAGGTATGGAATTAGCGGGAAGTTGCAGGGATGGCCTTTAGCGAGAACCGTTTTTTTAATTTTTTTTCAAATAGTTACTATGAAAAATTAATCCTCCAAACGATTTTTCAAAATTTTCATTTCAACAAAACTTTTTTTTACAATGAAAATTTTGATTACTTTTATTCAAAAAATAAATTACAAATCAACCGTCAATTAAGGATAAATTAATGAAATTTTCAGGATTTATTTTCAAATATCTACATATTTTATAAAAACATTAATTGCGTTAACTTTTAAGTTAACAAATGAAAATTTCATTGATATCCTCGGTAAAAAAATGAAGATTATTATTTAACTGATATATAGGTACGTTATTTATTAAAGTTTAAGATCCCGAAAAAAATTTTCACTGCTCGTAATTAGTTTAAACGATATGAATTTATTTATTTATATATTTATCACCGGGCGCCAGACGCTCTTAATAAAAAATAACAATTGAAAACATTATTATTGAATAAATTTTATTTTTTCATAATCAAGTGGAAAATAGGGAACCCACTTAACGTGATTTTGCTCAACTACAAAATCCTCGATATTTTGGATAATTAATTACTTTAAATAAACGATCTAGCTTTGTTTTGCTTAAATTTTTTTTATATCTATAATGACTATTGATGATAATTTTTTACTATTTTTATTATGAATAAAATATTTTCCAGGAAACGGAGTGTACTTTTGGATAGTCATGTATCGGCGATACAAAAACTTGAAAGATATCGAGCAGTCAAAATTAATTATATAATTTTTTAATTTTACTTATTTTATAATTTTTTATATTACTAATGATAATTAATTTAGATAAATAGAATAAGTCGCTAAAATCAATGACTAGAAACCATAAGGGCTAAAATTGTTCCATATATTTGGTAGAAACATTTTATATATTATACTTTCTAAGTAGTTTACACTAAAAAAAAAATGTTTTTGTCATAACAAAAGTCAGGAATACACAGCAATTTTTAATGACTATAAAATGATATTTCGAAAAATAAAGTTTTTACAATAAAAAAAGAGCACAACTATTTTTAATCAGTTAATCAATTACACCGGCACACAAAACAAATTAAGTAGAATATGCATTTGACCGGACCTACCTACGGGTACGTATTTTGGTCCGCTGAATCCGAATTCGAGGTCAGTTTGACCCCTACACCCCCAAAATTTCGAGAAAACTTCGAAAAACCGTAAAAATGATGAAAATCGGCAGTTTTAATGATAAAAAAAATTTTTTGGAACTAAACTAAGCGTGATTTTCATGTATTTCGATCCGCTGAATATGAATCGAAACTTTATTGAGACCAAGAGCCATTTCAAATGTAAAAAAATCACACAAACCCTCCAAAATTCCGAAAAAATATAGTTTTCATGATAAAAAAACTTTTTCTGGTCCAATTCAGATAAAATTTTGTATTTTTTGATGTCTTCAATTCGCATGTTAATTTTTTTAGTCTATTCACCCTCTAAAGCTGGAAAAATTCGAAAAAATTGTAAAAATTACCATTCATAACAGAAAAAAAATTGATTGAACATGATTTAATGCCTAAAATAAATACTCTATAACGTAGATATATTTAATAACTAGAAATCTGTGAAATACACAAGACATAAAAAGATAGAAAGAAATGATTTTTACGAATCCTAAACTTTCCTTCGTTTGTATCGCTCTCTTTTATCCTCAAATGATCTTCGTAGTGGATTTCTCTTTCGTTTACGATTTTCTTCGCGTACTTCTCTTTTTAACATCCAACAAAAATCTGCCATCATGTTAACACTCCAATTTCCTTGGTATCTATTTTCCATTTCACTGATGTCTTGGTCACTATAGTCTCCACAATTGTCAGGGAAGTGGTCAAGATGAGAATCTAAAAAGTGTAATTTGAGATTCATTAAACAACCCAAATTTTTGTAGTTTTCCAGCAATGCGTCAACTAAAGTGCTGTAATCCTCACTTCTGTTATTTCCCAAAAAGTTTTGTGAAACATTTTGAAGCTTACCCAAGCTGCTTTTTCTGTGTCGTTCATTGTTTCTTCAAAATTTGCATCCTGAAATAAAGATCGTATTTGGGGTCCATCAAAAATTCCCTCTTTCAATTTCGCATCACTTATTGCAGGGAACTTTTCTGTCAAGTATGCAAAACAATCACCATCTTTATTCAGAGCTTTCACGTACTGTTTTATGAGTCCCAACTTGATATGTAGTGGTGGCAGCAAATATTTGGAAGGTTGAATTAAGGGTGGTCGTATAACGTTATAGGAACCTGGATTCAATGCAGATCTTGATGGCCAATCTTTCTTGACATAGTGATTTTTCCGGTCTCTGCTATCAAAAAAACATAAATAACAAGGATATTTGGTGAATCCCGATTGCTGACCTAAAAGAAGTGTTGCGATTTTGAGATCTCCACAAATTTTCCAGTTATGCTCTGAATATTTTATTTTTCCCAATACAATCTGTAAATTTTCATAAGTTTCTTTCAGTTTTGTCGAATGAGCTATTGGAATCGGCGCAAATTCATTCCCAATATGAAGCAAAACAGCTTTAAGACTTCGTTTCGATGAATCGATAAAAAGTCTCCACTCATCGTCCTTATACGTGTTCGTGTTATTTCAATTCATCAACTAAAGCTTTAACATCTGAACAGTATACCACCGAATTTTGATCGTCGTTCATAAAAAATTTCCGGAATTTTTTTTCCCTATTTCGATAGAATGTCACTGATACACCTTTAGCCAACAAATGTTTTTCTTTCAACCTTGACGCAAGTAATTCAGATCCATCTTTTGGTAAAGCCAAGTCTCGAACCAGATCATTAAGTTCTTCTCGGCTAAACGTTTCAGGGTCTTTTGTTTTTCCGCCAGGTAAGTACTCTTCATCTTCTGAATGTTCTTCTTCCGAACTTTCTTCAACTAGCGTATCGTCTTCTTCTTCTACATCCATTTCTTCGACCGTATTAACTTCCTTGACAAATTCTATTTTTTGTGGCTTAATAGCTGATGAAACATTGGCGTATACAATTTTCTTTTTTGTATTCCAGGTGAACCCGGAAGTATCTGTCATACAGAAATAACAATTCTGTAAACCAGTTGGTGAAGACCATATCATTGGTATTGTGAATTTCAAGTTTTCCTGTTTCTTGTTTTTTTCCCACCGGATTAACATCATGTTACATCGACTACAAATCGTATGTGGAACCTATGCTGAATCCAAATTAGTAATTTGGAGACCAAAACATTCTTCATAAATTTGTTTGATCTTATCAGATAACAATCTTCGATTCCTTTCCAAATTGTATTCTCCACAAATGTAACAAAATGAATCAGGACTTTTATTACACAGATGAGAATTACTTCTTGTAATAGTATACTCTCCAGTAGCCAAGTTTCCCACTTCTGAAGAGCTGCAGTCGCTGCGGAGTTTTAGAGGTGTATGCAAGGAGTATCGTGTGCAGTTACGACACGGAGTCACAAAAGTGTATTATTAGAGTTTTCAAGAAGTTTTCGACGAGTTTTTTCGAAGTCGCTATGGAGTTTACCTCGCGTTTTTGTTGGATATTTTCGGAGTTGCAGTGGAGTTTTTTTGGCGTTTTCGTCGAGTTTTTGTCAAGTATTTTCAGAGTAGCTAGGGAGTTTTCGTCGAGTTTTTTTCGATGTTTTGCGGAGCTTTATAAGAGTTTCGCTGGTGTTTTTTCGGAGTTTTGGTAGTGTTCTTATGAAGTTTACTCGCGATTAATAATACTTCATGGGATGAAAATTAAATTTGATTTCACAAAGATGACTATAAATAAATCATTTTTCAATTACGGTGTAGTTTTTATTAATTTATTTATTTATTTACAAGTTTAAATATATTTATCTACATAGAATATGTTATTCAATAAATATATTATGAAGTTTATAAGTAAAATATACGATACATAAAAAAAATGACATCATAAAAAAATTGTCAAAAAGTTTACAGTTGATCAACTGAAACAATATTATCATAACTTAAATTAAAATTTTACCAATACATAAAGTGATTCAAAACTTTAATCAGTTTCCGTAAGATAGACAGTGTTGTTTATTACTGCGGGTCTTATTAGGTGCGACTGAATAGTAGATACGGACAATGTCTTAGATAGCTTGACCGGTTGAGTCTTTGACTTTTTTTTTTTGGTTTTGAAAAAGGATTTTATTTTTGACATTTTCATTATACATATATAAGTAACAATATCCTTATAAACAACTTAATCACTAATATGCTTTATTTTGAACTGTCATCACATGATGCTCTAATCAAAAATATTTAATTAACTATATAATAGGTTTATATTATTAAATATCATTTAACATAATTAAAATTTTGTCTTGAACTATTATTAAATATTATCATATTGTTTTGGAAAAATTAAAAAAGATAAATAGAAAAAACCAAATGCATACTTTAACGTGCCTTATAAGGCAGGGGAGAGGATGAGAAGGACAAAGGATAAGGAAGTGATGGGTAGTGTTGACTATTTACATATGTACAAAAAATCACAGAAGCTTTTCTTGGAGCAGCATGTACTATTGTCGAGGTCTTTGGACTCTTTTTGGTCTTGGGCAACTTGATTGTTATGTTGAGTCTTTGACTTGTAATGAAATGCGGTCCGGGTTCGAGTCCCGGTCTGTCCGAATTATTTTTTTCGGTTTTTCATTCATTATCCATCAGAAAAGTCCGATGAAACTCGCAAAATACTCTTGGAAAGCCCCACAAAAACTCGGTGAAGACGCCGACTAAACTCAACAGAAAATCCGAAAAAACACTGATAAAACTCGGGGAAAACTTCATGAGAACACCAGCAAAATTCCAACCAAACCCCGTAACGATCTCAATTAAACACCAATTAACCACTATCGTCTTCATGTGTCACAACTGCACACAATACTCCGAGTTTACTCCCCATATACGCAGACTATACTCCGTCGTTACGCTGAGTTTCGGACGAGTTTCTACAGAGTTCTATCGGTGACACCGAAACCGCTAGGGCATCGAATAATTTTATTAATCAATTTTTGATGGATCTTCCACAAATGACACAGTCCGAGTTTTTAAATTGATTGAAGAAAAGGAGATTTTTTTATGCATAATTATTTTCTTTTATTATGAAAAGTTTATCAAGAATATATTATTTAAAAAAAATTTGGCTATGTGTTTTTCTGCTAAATAAAAAGAGAATAGCCTCTTTATTTTCTGATAAATATTTATCGATAGCAATAAAAAATGAGTCAGTTTTTTTTAGTTTAACTTGGTGAAAAATTTTACAACTTTTCGTGAACATGGAAGTTATAAACAGAGTTAATAAAGTCCCCTAGAGTTACCTAATAGTCTATAACTGACTGAAGGCTTGAACATAAAAATTGAAAAAAAAAATTGACTGCGAATATTTTTAATTTTCGAAATTGGAGAAAAAAAATTTATTTTTTTATTTTAGAGTATTTCTCTTAATGCCACTCCGAAAAATTTTTTGGATATTAGAGAAATCTTATAATTAAAATAAAAGTACAAAGTAATAAAAATTAAGTGTCAATTGTCAAAGAAATTTCTATTTTTTTTTTAAGTATGAAAATAAATAAAAGACAATCCTGAAAAAATTTTTTTTTCCATAAAATAAATGTATTCAATAAAAATTAATCTCTATTTTCATAAATGTGATTTTAAAATCTATTCATTTTAATCTAATACTATGATTCACCTACCATGATTACGGATTGCAAAAAAATGTTCTTTTCGTGTCTGAAAAATATTCAAAAACTACAAAATAAAAATTTATGACCTAAAAATATAATTTAAATAACGATTGTTCAAATCACCTAGTATAGTGTACAATACGTCAATAAGTAAGTTATCAAAATTCTGTTCCATGGTCACTTTTTCACTTAAAAATATGTAAGTATATATTTCATAATATTATTATATTCGAAATCAAATTAATTTTTGACAAATTCTAAGAAATAAAATTATTGATAGGGGGCTTCCTTTGCTTGCCGTCATTTTTTTCACGGTAGCGGCTGTTGAGAGTTCAAATAATAAAAAAAAGGACTCAATCCGAAACCAGAATTCTTTAATAAAAAATATGGAATATGGTGAGTGTTTCTATCAATATTTATCATGAAATTTTTTAAACTAATAATTGCAATACTGCGTAGGTACAAAAATAGTAAAAATAAGATTTTGTACTTAAATTATATATTATTTTGTAATATTATTATGATTTCCATAATTATATCTAATATTTAATATTTGAGCTGCTTAAATTCACATATTTATGTATAATTTGCATTATTTTATATTGTTCATTCGATTTAATGAATAAATCAAACCTTCTGTATGATAAATAATAATATTTCGAGCTCACACATTTAATTTTAATAAAATTCGTTAATAATTGTTTTTTACATTACGTTTTTTCTTGCTCCTGTAAAATAATATTTTTAGGGGCCATTCATTAATTACGTAAGGGTATTGAGGGGGGGGGGGGTAAAATTCATTCTTACGTAATATTTCGTGAATCAAAATTCAAGATTAAAAATCTTTCCATTTCGAATTCCAAATTGTTTTCTTAATTTTAAAGCGTACAGTTGAATTTTTATTTTATTTAAATAATTTTTGTTGCTTATTGAAAAAAGTAAAAAATAACTTATTAAAATTTTATATGTTTTTATTGTTATCCATGTTTGATTCTATAGAAAAAATTATAGTACATTTTTTCGTGTATTATCATATTTTTATTATTTAAAAAATAAAAAAACATTTTCATCTACCGTTACATCTGATGAGCTACCAATTGTCTCTGATTGGATGACATGGATTAAAAGTCCGTTTAGTCCGGATGAAGATTAATAATTTTAATTGATCTAGCTTTAACTATTTAATTTATGTTTTTGAGACTAATTTAAAACTAGTCAAATATTATTTTATGAAAAATATTATGAGTTTGTAGTTTTATTGATTTATGTTTGCTAGTATTATTTAAATTATTCCTTGTTAAAAAATAAAAATTATGGATTTACGTTGAACTGTAAGTTTTAGTGAAACTGATTCTTTTCTAATATAAAAGTTTATTATTTAGAAGATCAAGATAGAATCTTACGTAAGAAAGGGGAAGGGGGGTTCGAGAAATCTTACGTATACTTACATGGGGGTAAGGGGGGGGGGTCAAAATTGACCAAAATTGTCCTTACGTAATTAATGAATGGCCCCTTAGCAGTTACAAGGGATTAACAAATGAAACTACGCAGAATTGCAGTATTACCGACAATACATTTTTATCGTAAATGATTTAGGTGGAAAAGAAAAGTTTAAATTTGGACACCTCTTATCAATAATTCGAGAAAGCCCGCTAATTTTTGGAATAACTGTTAGTTAAGCTAGTCAAACGGCTTGTTGAAAAATTTATAAAATTTCAAATCTCCATCATCTCTCCTTAGAAATTAACGAGTTTTTCCAAATTAGCGTACATAATTTTTTGGCGTGAGTAATTTTTTCAGGGTCAAAAACAATGTATCTTTATTGAGAAATTAAAAAATTTTTAAATTTCTAAATCGATAGACTTCTTCATTAAGAAATTTTTTTAATTAATTATCTACAAAAAAAGATGTTTATTTATTATTGTTTCCTACATTCGCACATGTCCATATTTTGACATGTCGAATAATTTCTTTGTCGTTTATTATACTACTGTCTAAAGATAGGTTTTTAAATAATATTTTTAAATTTCCTCATTCACTTTTTTATATTTGAATTTTTATAGTTTTTAATATATTAATTAAAACAATTTTTATAATAGTATAATTGATATTTTGAATTATTATTTTTGAGAACTAAAGTTTTTATAAGAAACTTAGATTTTCTCTTTTTACTTTTCTAAAATGATTAAATTTATTTACTCTTATATTTTCAAATAATTTAGGTATTTCTTTAGTCTTAAGAACTGAACATATGAATTTTTTTTTCTCATTCATCTTTACATACAGTTTTCGTTCCCTGAAAAATTCCGTAATAATGCCTGTCCGGATTCATAATTATTTATTTTATTTGAATTTTTTAGTCATTGTAGTTTAAAATGATCAATTTTAAAATGTACTATTTATTAAAATTTTTGATGAGAGATTTTCAAATCTAAACTTTTCTTTTCCACCTGAATCATTACTAACTGTTACGCATCATTGACGATAATAGTAGCTGATACTAAGTTGTAAATCCTAGGATTGTACATGCTGCAAAATATGAACGCGAGTGTGGATCCTTGTGACAATTTTTACGAATTTGCTTGTGGTGATGCTGATGATAAATCCAATAAATATTATGATAAAGCAGATAATGACATGGATAGAAGGATCGAAATTTTGATAACTGATTCCCATCGGTCATTTAAATTTGAACCTTTTAAATTCATAAGTGATTATTATTACTCTTGCAAAAATCTTAAGAAAAACCATGGTAAGTATTCATTTAATTAATAATTTATGTGTTAAAAAATTTATTTATAATTACGGTCAAAACTTTTGCCGCAATTTTAAAATAAATGGATCGAATTTTTAATATTATTCAAAATTTAATTTTATGAAAAAAACAATATTTTTTCTGTAATCCCAAAATTGAGGTTCATAATGAGAAGTTTATATTTTTGATAATTATGAATTGCCTTTCTAAAATTACGGTGAAATTATTGATCCTAAGTAAAGAACATTACACATTTTTTTTTTTTTAATTAAATTTTGAACACCTTTTGTTAGAAACAAATTTCTATAGGACCAATACTTTTGCCATAATATCAAAAATTTGAACCATTCATTATAAATTGTTATTTTTAATTTATGGCAAAAATCTTGGCGCTATTTATAAAATATAATATACAACAAATTTTGCAATCCCATAATAAAATTGAGATGAAATGTATGTGGCATCAAACTATTCGTAACGTGATTGGTTGAATATATCATAAGCATGAAAATATATGCAAACTCTATAATCAAAGCGCGCGCTTGCGCGCGTAAATTCAAATTCTAGTATTAATAATAAAATTCATCAATTTTAACTAGATACCATGATATAATCAATTATTTTTAAGCCATAATTTAAAGAATACTATTTTAGTTAATAGATGTGTAATGTCAATTGGCGTATATGTATATAAATAAATAAATAAATAAATAATTAAAAATGCTTTTTTGGTTGAAATATACATCGATTAAGATGATACGGAGTTATTAAATGAACTAATATCAAAATTGGGCGGATGGCCAGTCCTTGAAGGAGATAAGTGGGATGATACTGATTTTAATTGGGAAAAGTATGTCGAAAAAGCAATAAGTATTGGCATAGTCGTTGATGATTTTTATAACTTAAATACCGATTTGGATGAAGGAGTTGTAAAATTCGAAGTAAGTCATATAAATCTATTTCAAAATAAAATAACTATGAACAATTGGCAGGTATCTTGAAGAATTATTCAATAATTATTGAACTATTCATTTTTTTTTGCTAACAGTTAGATCCACCGGTGTCAAGAGATTCAGAAAGTGATCTATCAAACAACAAACTATCAAATGCTTACTTCAAATTCATGTCTGATGTCGCAATATTCCTTGGGGCTGATATAGACCAAACTAAAGAGCTTAAATTATCATTAGAGTTCGGGCATGATATTAATACACTTTATTACAGTAAAGTCTATAATGAAGATGATTATAATCCGGTGGAGATGTCAGTGAAAGAAATGATAGAGAAATGGCCCAGTATAGACTGGATAAGATCTTTAAGTTCTAACACAAAGCCGTACTATAATTTTACAAATGAAACAAATGTTCATATAGAGTTTCCAAATTTCATCACTCACTTTGAGAAATTGTTAAATAGAACGCCTAAAAGAGTTCAAGCCAATTACTTGGTTTGGAATTTCATCGAGCTTGCGATTAGGTTTATAAATTCGAAAACGCTTTGGGACTATAGTCAGACTTATAAAAAAATTAGATATTCTTATACAACTAAAATTGATCAAATTGATTGCAAGGAACTTGTTAAAACTGATTTGAATCCTCTTCTGCAGGCTTATTATATTCGGGAGTATCCAGTTGAAGAGCGTACTAAAAGTGAGTTTCATGCGATTTATTCAAATGTGAAGAATAAATTTATTGAAATTGTTAATTCTTCAAAATGGCTCGATAGCAACACTAAAATTGAAATCATTGATAAAGTAGCCTCTATTCAAACGGTTATTGGTTATCCAGATGAATTACTCAACGATGATCAATTGAAAAATTACTTTGAAGGTCTTGAGATTACTCGAGATAATTTTTATAAAAATTATCTCAATGCGAAATTGTTTGAAAAAAAAATAATAAACTTTCAAACATTCAACAAAGTAAGTTCTGTTAAAACTGGTGTTGATTTATTTACATTCATGTACGAGGAACCCAACAATGCCATGTATGATATATTCGATAATTTCATGAGTAAGTATTTGAAATAATGTTATAATCTGATGCATTATTGTACAATAATGCTTTAGAAAATTTATTATTTCTCATATAGTCCAGAAGGATTTCTGAAAATTTTCGAAATTTCTATAACAAATTAATTATGGTAAAAAAAAATTAGGAATACGGTTGACCCTGAAGGCCATCCCTGCACTGTTAAAAATTTTTCTAAAATTACAATCATATTACAAAACAAATGATATGTAAAATTACAAATCAGTGTATAGCAATGCTAAATAAAATACAATTCATGTAATTTTCCAACACCTGTCAGGAAATCTACTAAGATGTATTGTAATTTTACAATCTTCTTGTATAAACCTAACACGCATTGTAATATTACAGAACTGTTCGTCAATTTTCAAAAAAAAGCTTTTTAAATGAGCAGCGTTATTTAAAACCAATTTTATTTCAGCCAACTTTAAAGCTTCATTGACATTAGCAGTACCTGTGAATTGATAAAAAAAAAATTATAATTTTTAATTCGTAAAAATGTCAAAAAAATATCATGAAATAAATCACTGTTAAAAATTTTTGTAAAATTACAATCATATTACAAAACAAATGATATGTAAAATTACAAATCAGTGTATAGCAATGCTAAATAAAATACAATTCATGTAATTTTCCAACACCTGTCAGGAAATCTACTAAGATGTATTGTAATTTTACAATCTTCTTGTATAAACCTAACACGCATTGTAATATTACAGAACTGTTCGTCAATTTTCAAGAAAAAGCTTTTTAATTTTGCAAACATTATTTGTAATTTGATTCGGCATAATTGTATGTAAAATCATTAAAAAATATTGTAATTTACAAAACTAATGAAATATAATTTTCAGGCGTGTCAATTGAATTACTCAGGAATTACTTTTTTGATGTTGAACGTTTCAATTACTTAAATTATGGTGTAATCGGTGGAATCATCGGTCATGAATTAAGTCATGCTGTAGATAGCGAAAATAGACTTTTGAAAAAGACTGGGTTAAGATATAAATGGAGTCATTTATCGAATGATGAATATCAAAAGAAGGAGACTTGTATGATCAATCAATATAAAATAAACTATCCTACAGAAAATGAAATTGAGGTATGATTTACAATCCGTCAATGAGATACTTTAATTTTACGAAAATTCAATGCATTTTTATAGTGACACTGGTGTTATAATTTATTTTTGCAGCTCAAAGCTGCAAAATACTTAAGTGAAAATATTGCGGATAATATTGGAACAAAAATAGCTTACTTGGCTTACCAAGATTGGATCGCTATAAATGGTCATGAGCCAAATTTACCCGGATTGTCGTATACACCCAATCAATTATTCTGGATATCATTCGCTAATCAATGGTGTCAACCAAAATCTGTACTGTCAAATTGGGACGACGACGATCATGCTTCTGATGATAAACGAGTGATTGGAACTGTGTCAAACAGCATTGAGTTTTCAAAAGATTTCAATTGTCCCGTTGGATCTAACATGAATCCTTCAAACAAGTGTATTTTCTTTTGAAATTATCAAATGTTTTAGTGCAAAATAAAAAAAATCCGTTATTCTGAAAAATCATTGAATAAATTAAAATTAAATTAGCAGACTTCGGAAAAGTTTTATAATTTTTTTATTGAAAAAAATTATTTAAAAAAAAAATTTTACATCCAAAAAATTTAAAAAATTCTAAGTGCAATTATTTAAAAACATTTTTTTATTTATAATTTTTATTGATTCAAAAAATTGAAAATTGTCAACTGTCCGCCAATTTTATAGTATCATTTATATTAACTTTTTATAGAAACATGTGGTGATTACCTTTTTATATTTTTGAACATTTAAAATTGTTTATTAAGTTTTAAAATATTTCTAGAATTATTTATCCAGTCTTCTTTCTATTTGACAAAAATTTTATTTAAAAATTTTATTCAAAAAGAAAAAAAATAAAAAATTTATTTGATAAAAATTAATCTATATTTTTCGTTAATGCAATTCCCACTTCCATTAATTTTAATCTGCTAACGATTCCCCTAATTAAAAATTATTTGTGATAACGACAGCATTGTTCAGTAAATTATCTACACAGAAAAAAAAAATTATTTGAACTGAATAAGATTTATTTGAGCCAAAGATATCGTATACTTGGATATGGCAAAATAAATATTTATTTGTGAAAAATATATGATATATTTGAGCTATTTAATTGCGTCAAATAAGTGATTTATTTGTTGTCAAGATATGATTTATTTGTGGTAAATAAATGATAGTTGACGCAAATAATGCATATTTTAAAATATTAAAATTAATTGTACATATTTTTAGGTTATTATAGCGCTACTATAGAATAAAAAATTTATAATTTATTTTATTAGAACAGAAATACAATTAAAAATTCAAATCACCTTTAGATATAATATGGTTGCCTTCAGCTGTAACATGCACTTTTATTGGACCAAGACAATTATTAATATTGAAAATTAAAATTTGTTCAGTTGTATTTTTATCAGGTAATATTACTATGTATCCTTTTAAATGATCATTTAAACCGACAGTTAAACAATCAATTAACAATTGTTCCATCGTTTCGATCACTATTATGAATTATTTAAAATTGAAAATTGAGAATTCATACAATAATACGCACTATTATAAAAAAAAAAACAACAAACGTTTTTAAGGAACATGGCGGTCACTTGAGAGTCAGTTCGGGTGACGTCCGAAGAATATACGCGCGCAGTAGTTGAGAATTCAACATTTGACTGGTACCCTCAAAGATGACGTTGTTTACCATAAACTTAGCATCTTTACCACAAATAAATGAAATATTTCTGACTAATAATAAAATAATTCGAGTCAACTGTTATATTTACTTGTACCAAATATATATGGTTGTCACAAAGAAATATTTAAAAAAATGACTCAAATAAATTGATTTATTCAAGACAAATAATTCTTTTTTTCTGTGAATAGAGTTGGCGATAAGTTATTGTTAAATTGATTGCAGCTATTGATGGAAAATTTTTTGTTGATGATAATGATATGGTAAGGTGAAGTGTTGATAAAAAAAAAAGATATCAATTTGCTAAGATTTGGATAAAATTTTTCTCATCTCCAGACAGATTTTAGAGATTTCTTATTATCAGGGATCTTTTAAAATTTTCCGAGGAGTCTTCATGGTTCTTAAGTAATAGATTAAAAAATTATCTGGAAATTGAAGCTCTTAATATCAAATCTGAAGTTTACGGTTAAATCTACATATATAATACAAAAAAAAAAAAACAACAAACGTTTTTAATGAAAATGGCGGTCACTTGAGAGTCAGTTCGGGTGACGTCCGAAGAATATGCGCGCGCAGTAGTTGAGAATTCAACATTTGACTGGTACCCTCAAAGATGCCGTTGTTTACCATAAACTTAGCATCTTTACCGCAAATAAATGATATATTTCTGACAAATAATAAAATAATTCGAGTCAACTGTTATATTTACTTGTACCAAATATATATGGTTGTCACAAAGAAACATTTAAAAAAATGACTCAAATAAATAGATTTATTTGAGACAAATAATTCTTTTTTTCTGTGTACGTGATTAAACGAAAATTAAAAATTATCAAAGACAATTTATTATATAAAAGTATTCTATAAATACTTCAATAAGCAGAAGATATCAAAATTCTGTTCGAAGCTCTTTTTTTAACTCTAAAAAATGTAAGAATATATTTTATAATATTATTAAATTTGAAACCAAACAAATTTTTTACAAATTATTATAAATAAAATTACTTATGGGAGGTTTGCGTTGCATGCCGTGATTTTCTTCACGGTAGCGGCTGCTGAGAGTTTAAATAATAAAATAAATGATCCAACCAGAAACCAGAATTCTTTAGTAAAAAATATGAAATATAGAGACAATTTTTCTCGCTGGCGCGTATATTATTTTTCATCATTTTTGTAACCAAAAGTTTAACTTTGTGCTCTTGTTTTTGTGGAAAGATTCGTGCAAATTTCAAGCTGTTCATTTAGTTGTATATGTTATTCTAAAAGGTAAAAGTCGCACTTTCTTCCCGCAAAACAGAGCAGAAAGTTTAAAATTTGGGTGCAGATACAATGAAAAAAAAAAAAATATAAGCACTTGTTTTTACGAAGTAAGACAAGTATGGATGCAAAGATGCAACGATGCTAGGTGAGAGTGGCTAATTGTATCTAAAAAATTTTGTTAATTTTATTTTAAATATGAGCAATATCATCTTCTTATATTGTGAATTATTTGAAATTGTTTTGTAAGTTCTGAAATATTGCAAAGAATTTTGTCTTCTTTCTTCGTAACAAAAATTCCCAGTTAACATTGTACTGTGTAAAAAATATTACAATTGATTTATTTGACAAAAATTAATCCACATTTTTACAAATGTAATTCCCAATTCATTAATTTTAATCTAATAAATTCCCCAATTAGTAATTAGTTCTAATGATGATGAAGTTGTACAGTTAAGTTCTTACGCGTCTAAAAAGAATTTAAAAATGATAAGGAGATAATTTATAATATAAGTGTTCTATAATACTCCAATCAGCAGAAGTTATCAAAAGTCTGTTCCAAGCTTACTTTTTAACTTAAAAGATGTAAGTATATATTTTATAAAATAATTATATTTGAAACAAAATAAATTTTTACAAATTCTAATAAATAAAATTATATATAGGGGGTTCACTTTGCTTGTAGTGATTTTTTTTACTGTAGCGACTGCTGAGAGTTCAAATAATAAAAAAAATGACCCAATCAGAAACCAGAATTCTTTGATAAAAAACATGGAATATGGTAAGTGTTTCTTTGAATATTTACCATTAAATTTTTTAATCATATGGGTAATACTGAATTGAATATTCTGCCTAGGATTGTACATGCTGCAAAATATGAACCCGAGCGTCGATCCTTGTGACAATTTTTACGAATTTGCTTGTGGTAATTTTGATGATCCGAATTCTTCGGCTAAACGTAATAGATACTATGATAAAGGGAGTGATGTCATGGCTTCGAGGATGAAAAGTTTAATAACTGATTCCCGTCGATCCTTTGAATTTAAACCTTTTAAATTTATAAGTGATTTTTATTACTCCTGCAAAAATATTAATAATTACCATCGTAAGTATTAAATTAATAATTTACATTTCAAAATGTTTTTTGGTAATAATATAATGAAATTGTTTTTTTTTTTTTGTTGAAGGATACATTTATGAAGATGATACAGAGTTCTTAAATGAAATAATATCAAAGTTAGGCGGATGGCCAGTCCTTGAAGGAGATAAGTGGAATGAAACTGATTTTAATTGGGAAAATTATATCGAAAAAGCGATAAGTATTGGCCCCATCGATAATGACTTCTATAACTTATATATAGATTGGATAGATGGAGTTGCAAAATTCACAGTAAGTAATATTTATCTATTTTGTAATAAAATAACTACACAGAAAGAAAAATTTCTTGGCTCAAGAAAATTTTCAGGTGCCTAAAGGAAGACCGAAGTTGTGTTGGCTGAAGTAAAAATTTTTCTTGAAATTCTATTCTTGGTGGGAGTAATTTTTTCTTAATTCAAATTATCATAAATACTTGATACAATAAATTTTTATATTCGATCAAGATTTTTAGATACTTTAGGGAAGCAGCGCGACCTACTTCAGATGAGAAAAAAATTTTTTCACCTTGAGAAAATTTTTCTCTTGAATATTTGATACCCATTTTATATTATTTTATAGCGTGCAATTATACATATTGAATGAAAAAAAATGATGAAATATTATTTGATCTTCCCAATTGACATGTTAATCAATAAAAATATTAATGAAAATTTACTTTTATCTTTATATTTAATTTTTTGGAGCAAGAGGCTGAATTTTCTCAAAAGATACGTATTTCTTAAAGCAAGAGAATTAATTTTGTTGGAATAAGTGAAATTTCTTGTGTCAAAAAAAAATTTTTTTCCCTCAAGAAAATAATTAGGAAGAAAAATATTTTCTTGGCTCAAGTGAACCATTTTTTTCTGTGTATAAGCAATTGGCAGGTATCTTCAAGAATTATTCAATACAATTATTGTACTATTCATTTTTGTTTGCTAACAGATCCGTCCACAGACAGCAGATCTTTCAGAAAGTGGTTACTTTAAATTCATGTCTGATGTCGCAATATTCCTGGGGGCTGATACAAACCAAACAAAAGAGCTTGAATTATCATTAGAGTTCGAGAATAATATTTATGAACTTTATTACAACGAAGTCTATGATAGAAATGATAGTGAGACGCTGAAAATGTCAGTGAAAGAAATGATAGAGAAATGGCCCAGTATAGACTGGATAAAATCTTTAAATTCTAACACAAAGCCGTACTATAACTTTACAAATGAAACAAATGTTCATATAGAGTTTCCAAATTTCATCACTCACTTTGAGAAATTGTTAAATAAAACGCCTAAAAGAGTTCAAGCCAATTACTTGATTTGGGATTTCATCCAGTTTGCGATTCCGTATATAAATTCTAAAACGCTTTGGGACTATAGTCAAACTTATGAAAAAATGAGATATTCTTCAGATCGAACTGAAACTCGCCAATTTGATTGCAAGGAACTTGTTGAAAAAAGTTTGAATTCTCTTCTACAGGCTTATTATATTCGAGAGTATCCAGTTGATGAGGGTACTAAAAGTGAGGTTCAAGCGATTTATTTGAAAGTTAAGAATAAATTGATTGAAATTATAAATTCTTCAAAATGGCTCGATAGCAACGCTAAAATTGAAACCATTAATAAAGTAGCCTCTATTAAAACGGTTATTGGTTATCCAGATGAATTACTGAATGATGATGAATTGAAAAATTACTTTGAGGGTCTTGAGATTACTCGGGATAATTTTTTTAAAAATTATCTCAATGCAAATTTGTTTGATAAGAAGATAATGAGCGTTCAATCATTCGTACAAGTAAGTTCTGTTAAAACTGGTATTGATTTATTTACATTCATGTATGATAACTACAACAACGCTAAATATGATCGATTTAATAATTTTATAGGTATGTATTTTAAATAATGTTATATATAATCTGATGCATTATTGTACAACAATGCTTGAGAAAATTTATCATTTCTCAAGTAGTCTAGAAGAATATCTGACAATTTTTGAAATTTCTATAACAAATTAATTATGGAAAAAAAATAATATTTTTAAAAATTCGCGCTTTTTAATATTTTTCTTATTTCTGCATGTAGAATTTTTAACTAAATTTTTTTTATAATAATTTTATTGTTATAAAATGAAAAATTTTTAAAATGTTTACTAATTTTTAGTAGGGTAAATGCACCAATTATTGACCGATTAACGTTTTCTTTTTCTGTACTAAGCTATAAAAAATCTATTAACCTGCTAAAATCAATTTGTAATGGATTTTATTAAAGTTAAATACTTAATTAATAATAATTAATAGCTATTTATAATAAAAATTAACAAAATTATATTAATTTTGTTATTTGAATGTTGAAATACTAAAATCACCAATTATTGACCGAAGAAACCCAATAAATGACCGACCGTTCTCCAATTAATTGACCGCTCAAATAATTATAAGTAATTTTGTAAACTACATGTATGTAATTAAATATATGCAGTACTTTTAAAGTATTAAAGACATCTTTAACAAAACTAAACATACAATATAATTTTAAATCGTACTTTTTTTATAAAATAATATAAATAATAGCAATAATTAACATAAAGTCACATTTCTTTAGGTCACAAATAATCACAAATTCATTTTGATGACGATAATTCTTCTGATTCACTTGAAATTTTTTTATTCTTCTCCTTCTTTTTTTCAATTAAAGCTTTTTTACTAGCTTGTAACTCTTTTTTATTTTTTTAATTACTTAGCAATTTTTTCTTCTAATAATTCGTTCTTTGATATAACCGTTCACTAAAAAAATTACAACTAAATAAAATTTAATAATCAAAAAAGATTTTAAGTATTATTTTAATTATAAATATACATTTTATAATGATTATTTTTATATTTACAAAATATTGAATGACTAAAGTACTTTAAACACTTGACAGATTTAATTTTGAGGTGAAGAAGTTAGTATTATAAATATACGGTGATTAATTGGATTGTGATAAAATCAGAGGGTCTAATAAATGACCGAATGAATTTTTGACTGGGTAAAGGGCTTCTGACGGATCCAATAGTTGACCGGTCTTAAAATAATATTAAAACTTATAATTTAACTTTATTTTTTCAAAAAAGTTGGAATCTGATCTTTAATTAACATACTAAAACTAAAATATTTTATATTATGCCGATAAATATCACTAAATTAATGATAAAATGCACTCACTCTCCAATTGTACGGTAGTTATTTTTGACCGCTTTATGGCTGGTTGCGTTGTAAACAAACTCTGAATATTTTTTAAAAGCTATAATCACTGCGCAATTAACTGTGTAATTTTTTATTATGATGATTAAATGCCATATTTTTTTATTTTAATACTTTAAGAAAAAAAAAAAACCCTTGTAAAATATTAATTAATTAACTTTTTCAGATGTTTCAGTTGAGTTACTCAGGAATAACTTTTTTAATATTGACTTTTTAAATTACTTGAATTATGGAGTAATCGGTGAAATTATCGGTCATGAATTAAGTCATGCCGTAGATAGTAAAAGTAGATTTTTGGAAAAGACTGGGTTAAAATATAAATGGAGTAATTTAACGAATGATGAATATCAAAAGCAGGAGACTTGTATGATCAATCAATATAAAAACTATTCTACAGTAAATAAAATTAAGGTATGATATACAATCAGTCGATGAGATACTTTAACTTTACGAAAATTCGATGCATCTTTATAGCGATGCTCATGATATAATTCATTTATTTTTGCAGCTCAACGCTGCAAAATACTTAGCTGAAAATATTGCGGATAATATTGGAACAAAAATAGCTTACTTGGCTTACCAAGATTGGATCGCTATAAATGGTCATGAGCCAAATTTACCTGGACTGTCGTACACACCCAATCAATTATTCTGGATATCACTCGCTAATAAATGGTGTGAATCAAAATCAGTATTATCAAATTTTAACGATGACAACAATCATGCTCCTTCCGACAAACGAGTGATTGGAACTGTGTCAAACAGCATTGAGTTTCCGAAAGATTTTAACTGTCCCGTTGGATCGAACATGAATCCTTCAAACAAGTGTACTTTTTTCTGAAAACATCTGTTGTGGTTAATAAAGACACTTGTAGATAATCTATATTAATCTTGCTATTAATTTATTATAAAATTATTTACAACCTTACTATTAAAACTCAAAAAATAAATATAACAATTATTAGAGCGTCGTTGATTTAAAAACTTAGAAAAGTTAATTTGCTTTATAAATTTCATATTTGTTTTCATGAAATCTACTAAAAAAAATTTTACTCTCAAATTATTTGAAACTATCAAAAATTCACTTTAGTGATTTAAAAACTTTCAAAAAATAAATCTCAAATGACTAAAATAAAAATCTTAATTGTGTTTAGTTGTAAATTAGTAATCAGTCAGTTTTTTTTTTTCCTTTTTTTTTTATACAAGTAACTAAATATATTTATAAAATTTTGATTCATTAAAATAAATACTGTCTACGTTAAATCAACAAAATTGTCGATTTTAAAATTAAGCAAATCCTTCTGTGATTTCGAATTGCGACCCGAAGCAGAGTTTGACCGTACAAATTTTTTCTTCATTCCAGTTTTATTACTAGTAGGAAACTCTTCATACTTTTTATAGCCACCGAGTCCGTCAGAGATATACGTATCATCCCGTGGTCTGGTTAGAGCCTATAAACAAATATTTATTTTTATATTTGATATTAAATTTAGATTTTTAAAACTTTGCACTCGAATAATAAAAATTACAAAAAAATAATAATAAATATAATAATAAGGTAAAGTACCCAGTACTTGAACACTTATAAAAATGGGGCCACTACTTGAACAGATTTTTCGAATTGTTGTAATTCAAAATCCGTACATTTATTATGAGTAATATGCGCATGTTATTTATTTATTTATTTAACCCTACAGCAATGCCAATAAGCGGGTTCCATAAGGAAAAAAAAAAAAAATTATATTTTTATAATAAAGCTTATGTGTAGTAATAGTAGTAGTAAGACCATGTTTGGACTAAAAGTCAAACCTAGATTGTTAAATAATTAAATTAAATTAAATAAGATACACTGAATCAGTGACTATTTGACAAACATAGTTTCGCAAAAGAATCTATATTATTTATCACATAAATATAAATATCAAGGCTGTTATCAATATTAAAGAACATGTTAAAGGCAACACTAAGCGATATATAGGAGAAAATGTAAGGATAAAATTAAGTTAAGTTGATTAAGTCCCAGATGTTCTTGCTAAAGCGTATACAACGAGATTTTATGCTTTTATGTAATTTTTTTAATTATTTTTAACAATTAGTAAAAAAAACGGTATATCACCATTATAAGTAAAAAAAAATCGCACTACCCAATGAAATAGTCTTTTCTAAATAATACATATTTTTTGCAGACATAAACTAAAATTTTTATATTAAATTTTAGCGTCTAACTATACCTCCAAATTTTCAAACCGTTACCCAGAACTTGAACAAACTCGGGCCGTATAATTTTAACAGCACTTTAACCTCTAATAGGTTTATAGACTAGTGACCATAATTGTGATTTGTAATAATTACTGCAAATTAATTAAGTTGTATATCTAAAAATTAGTGTAGTTAAAAATTATTGAACGTTTTGAATAGAGTTTTTTTGATTTATAATTGAAAATTTGCTTTGTCATTCATAAAAAATGTACTTAAAAAATTAAATACAAATATTGCTCATTTTTAAATGAGACCCATGCGGATAGACGCATGGGTGACTGACACGACTCACATGTTAATTTCGGTTAAATTTATTGATAGTTTCTATATTATTTTTATAATAAGAAATTGAGTCATACAAAATAAGTGATTCATAATTATTATCCATACAAATAATAATTATATTAAAATATACATGTCATGTTAAATAATTGGTTTAATTGTTGTACGACAAGCCGAATGGCTAACCTAGCCGAAAGTAATGCTAGATATATTGTTTTGACAGTTGTGTTAAATAATTAATTTATTTCAAGGGGATGAAGAAAAAACAGAAAACTACAGAGGAATATCCTTATTAAATATTGGATATAAATTACTAACAATGATAATGGCTAATAGGATAATGGAGTGGGCAGACAGGGAAGGCAAGATAAAAGAAAGCCAAGCTGGTTTTAGAAAAAGGAGAGGAACAAGGGACCATATATTTATGTTAAATGCGCTAATAAATAACAAACTAAAAAGAAAAGAGAAACTATTTATAGGATTCATTGACTTAAAGGCAGCTTTTGATACAGTGGACAGAAAAATTTTGATAAAAAAGGTAAAAGAGGCAGGGATAAGTGGAAGGATGCTAAAAATGATAGAGGAAATATATAGCAAGACATCAAGTGAAATTCAACTAGGAAATAAAAAAACGGAGCAATTCGAAATAAATCAAGGGGTCAGACAGGGTTGCGCTTTAAGCGCAGTCCTATTTAATTTATTTATAGATGTCATGGAGGATGTAATAGAAAAAAAGAACATAGGAGGTACAGTGATTGGGAAAAAGGGAAAAAGAAGGTATTTATTGGAAAATATGCAGATGACGCAGTAATAGTGGCGGACACAGAGGAAGGGCTAAAAGAAATGATAAAGGAAGTAGAAAAATATGTAGACAAAAACAATTTAATAGTAAATGCAAAAAAAAACAAAAATAATGATATTCAGCGGAGGTGGCAAAAAAAAGAAAACAAAGTGGAAATATAAAGGAGAAGAGCTGGAAGTGGTGAATAATTTCAAATACCTTGGGTTCAAATTTACTACAAAAAACGCAAGCAGGGAGCATGTTAACGATCTAGTGAATAAGGCGAACGCCACTGCTAATGCTACCTGGGGACTAATAAAGAGGACGGACAGGAATAACGCAAGAGACAGGGTCTATCTATATAATTCACTGGTAAATGCAGGATGTATGTATGGAGTGGAAGTATGGTGGTGGGAAAATGCAGAAAAAATTAAAGTGATATATAACAAAGTGAATAAAATGGCGCTGGGGGTAGCAAGAAATACACCAACTTACATCATCAGAAGGGAATTGGGAATAGAGCACATAGAGTATATATTAAAAGAAAGGGCACTCAGATACCTGGTAGATATAATGAAGCTTGAAGATAATAGATGGCCAAAGATATGCATGAAAGAAGAAATGAGGGGAATAATCAACAAAAATCCAACAAAATGGGGAAAAAAAGTGGAGAATTTTCTAGTGGTGATAGGCATAGAAGAAATTATTAGGGGAATATACGAGGGAGGAAATGTAGAAGAAATAGAGGAAAAAATAAAGGAGGGACTGGAAAAATACAAAAAAGAACTAGAAAAAAAGGAAAAGTTGCTAATAGAAAAGTCCAGATATAACGAGTTTTACAAAGATATATTACAAGAAAGTGAAATCAGCTATTGGAAAAAAGATAGAATTAATAGTGAGTACAAAGAGGTATGGGCAAGAACGAGATGTGGAAATCTGTGGAGAAGCGGAAAAAAGGGCAAAAGAATTGGGAATGCAGAATATGCAAGAAAGAGGAGGAGACACTGATGCATTTATTAAGCTGTTCAGAGATAATGGAAAAAATAAGTGAAAAAGGGCAACAAGCAAGATACAAGTGGATGGAAGAACTAGAGGGGGAAATAACAAGAGAAAGATTAGTGATAATTTTAAAAGGGGAAATAAATAGGGATCTGTGTATATATGTTAGAGAAATGGAAAAATTATTTAAGGAAATTGAGTAGTGTTACAATATTGAATGTCAGAAAAAGGCTGTCATTAATATACAGGGATGGATACTAGAAATAAGTATAAAATAGTATTAATAGTATTGTAATGCGACTGTGATATAAAGGATGAGGTGGGTGAAAAGTTAAAAGAGAGTAAAAGCAGTTGATTTTTAAGCCAAAAATAGTGTATATGCAAATGTAAATAAATAATTTAAGATACAGTTTTGTAAAACGCAATATGTGATACAAATAAAAACGATATTCTATTCTATTCTAATTAATTTATTTCAAGATGCCTGAGGAAGTCACGATACGTGACGAAACGTTGCTGAATTGAAAAATAAATTAACACAATAATAGAATAATTGATCTGTATAAACCTGAACCTTTATAGTTATAATTTTCTGGGATCTGATTAATTTGATGATAATAACAATATTGTAAAAAATTTACAGGAGGACACTTTATAAATTTTCACAACAAAATATTTGAAGTAATAAAAAAAATTCAATAATTCATTCCTACTTACCATTGGATCATATGCAGGCCGTGGTTTTTTAGCAAGAATAGAGCTTCCCGGTAAATTAGAAGCTGTGTTCATTGACGACAACTTTCTTTTCATATCCGGAACAATATTCTGAACTTTATACCGTGGGTTTATCCCAGTCAAATCTTCTTCATCTCTGACTCCACTTCGTTTTTTCTCGTTATGCCTATTAGTAGCATTAGTATCTTTGGCCGTAAGAACATTCTCTTGTAAATTTGATTTTGTATAAGTTTTATCATCTCGCTTTGTTTCAGCGCCACTAGTTTCTAAATTTTGGGAATTTAATACTTCTTCCAAGCGATTTTTCAATGCTTGATTTTCTGCTTCCAGAGTTATTATTACTTCTTCAATACTTCTAGAATAATTTTAAGTAATAAATTAATAACTCAAGTGATGATAAAAAATAATATTATAAATTTCAATTATCAAATTTAATATTCACATTAAATTAATAAAAATGAATAAACTTACTGGGTTTTTCTTGACTGCTCACGTAAACGATCTATTTCACCATTAGCTTTCATTAAATCATCCCGTAATTTTCTGATTTGTTCCCTGTGGTAGCGACGATTTTCCGTACACTTGGTCAACTCTCTACCAAAAATAAAAAAATTGATGAAAAAATTTCTATTTTTATATACAATAAAATTACAATAAAAAAAATAAATAAATAACAAACACATACTTTTTCAAAGCAGATACGTAAATAGAAAGTTTACGTTCATCTGTGGAAGTAACAATATCATTGACTTCCTTATCCGTCGACAATAAGACCATTTGTACACTGAAACAAATAAATCATTAAATTTATGAATAAAAAAAAAAAACTTGAATCTATATTATTAAGAGAATAAGAAAAAATTTGTGTTCAGGATAGTCATATGATAAAATCGGTTTTTTTAGTGAAATTTAGTGTCATTGCAAAGGTCTTGATTTGAATTTGTGTCTTTTCAAGGTTTCATATTATTCTCACCGATAGTCAATTTATTATAATAAGTATTTAGGCTGCATTTGAAAATGATCTATCTCTAGATATATAATCAAGAAATGACCTTTTATCTTGTGAAATATTGACATTTTTAAAGATATAAGCTCATCCCGATGTCACACTCATCAAGAGCTTTCAGTTGAGTACCCACATGCATATTTGATATATTTTTCATACATACATATATATAAAATATATAAATACATGAAAAATTGATGTGAGTACTCAAATGAAAGGTTTAGATAAGTGTCGGAGTGGACTTATATCTTTAAAAATGTCAATATTTCACAAGATAAAAGGTCATTTCTTGATTATATATCTAGAGATAGATCATTTTCAAATGCAGCCTAAATACTTATTATAATAAATTGACTATCGGTGAGAAT